CAACCCAAGCCCCACTCCCCTTCGTCTCTCATCCACATAACCTAATCTTACCCGTCTCTGTTATCAAAACATATCGAAACTGTGCAAAATCTTTTCGGCCATTTTGAAACTTTAATGAAATTTAGACGCAGAAACTTTATGGTTGTCGCAAACTACGACGGCACATAAAAATAAGAAGCGTTCTTTTCATCAATACATTTTATACCACTGTCCATTTAGTTAATGTATGGGACATAACTTCTTCCGGACAAACTAATAAATTCTGACATCAAACCGTAAATTGCCTTAATACGTTATTTATCCAATCCACTAATAAAGTAAGGAACAACCCCATTTTCTATATTGTATCGTGTTAAACTCTCGGGGTAATAAATCTTTTTATTGCATTCCATCGTTGAAACCCGCAATTTGCTCGGGAGCTTTATTTTGCCCACACAAGCAGTTATATATTGTTGATTTGGTATTTGAGTGTTACCAGGATACTGGCAAATACTTTTTGTAAAAACTGCTCATCTGTCAGGACATTACAAACACTGCAGAAGTTCGATGAACAGAAAGAAAGATTGTCACCTCCTTATCAACTTTTTGTCTCTAAATTTACGAGGCCACTGTCATATGAAGTGTTTCTCCGCAGTTTGTTTCCAAAACAACTACCCTACCCTTAACCTTCCAAGAATTTAAAAATGAAAATGAAATCAATCAAAACCGAGCATAATACAATACTTAAGTATACTTATATGATTTAAGATTAACAGATTTTATATATGTATATACACAATGTTTTTTCACTTCTAAATTAAAGTCATATTTATACACTAGATTTCATGAAAAAAATGTTTATTGTTTGTGGAGTGGATAAAAAAAACACTTCCAGATGCAGTTAAACTTTCAGAAACATTGTCAGAATGGGTCATGAAATGTTTATCAAATGAAATATATTTTTAAAAAGTATGCATCTAAACATAAACAAACAAAATATGTAAACATTGGATGAAAACGTTATTTGTGATATATTTATAACATATTTTTGTCTTTTTCGTTATCTGTTAGATGTGTATGGTATACATGAATAAAGCCAGAAACACAAGGAGCTTCTTCACAAAATGTAACAATTTTCTATAAGCAAAAGACGGAAATTATCCACGAAAATAAAATAGGTCTTTGTACACGACTTCTAATTTCGATCATTGTATTTATATTTTTGTTGAAAAAAACTTTTCAAATGTCAGCCGAAGACAAGATCAATTTCGATCCAGATGGCCTTTACACTTTACAAGTTTCGATAGTTCAGCTTTCAATAGAAAGTCGACAATTGTTTTTCTGTATCTAATATAAATATGACGTCATTGATGTAGATTTTAAAGAAAGTCAACGACCAATTTCAATGTAGATTACTCCAAAGAGCCAGTTTATTATTTTTCAAGTAATACAGTCAAAACAATAAAAGCTGTAGATAGTTTTGTAAATAACACCATGTAAACATAGCACAATTACTTACGAGATGAACTGAAAATGTAATGCTTCACAAGTAAATAATCAAACCGACGGATGTCTGCCATTTTGTTGCCCTGTATGAATCAACTGAGTCAATAGGGGCGCTCACGGACACGGTATACACCGAGTCAAACAATTAAATTCGAGAAAATGATTTGGATATAATATTAGTTGTTCAAGTTGCTGGCGAGATATACGGGAAAATATAGCCTGAATGACAGAAATATGACCCGTGAAATTTGTTTGCATCATTATACATTGTAAATATATGCATACAATTATTCTCTTAAAATGCATGGACCATTGCAAATGACATGAATAAAAATAAGAAACTTATTCAAACCAGAACTTTAGAAGGCTGGTGATCATTACTAATCGATAATTGAAATATTGATTTTTGTTTTCGTCAAAATTTGTTATCAAAATGACGTTTCATCTTTATTATGACGTAACGATTTATCCGTTTGTTTTCTCTTACCTACATTGAGCTAAATTCAACTTGAAGTTATAACAATAGAGCATAAAAGAAAGCTACATGTATATTGATAAGTCGGACATTAAATTCAATTGAGCTTATATCCAGGTGATGTACATTATATATGTCAAAAGTATGCATTATAAACATACATGTACTTAATTTGATTAGATCTTAATACTGTTGGATGTGAGAAATAGGCAATTACTTCTGGGTGTAGTTATGCAATCGTGGTTTTGCGTACGATTGTATTAAATGAGCCGTGTCATGACAAAACCAACATAATGGGTTTGCGACCAGCATGGATCCAGACCAGCCTGCGCATCCGCGCAGTCTGATCAGGATCCATGCTCTTCGCTGTCAGTTTCTCCACTTGTAATAGAGTTGATAAGCGAACAGCATGGATCCTGATCAGACTGCGCAGATGCGCAGGCTGGTCTGGATCCATGCTGGTCGCAAAACCATTATGTTGGTTTTGTCAAGACGCGGCTCAAATTAATAAATACTCCCTAAGGGATGCTATCTTGTTATAAGCATACGATTACATCTTGCTTGGATGCATTCGAAAGTATATGTACATAAACTTTATCACTTTAGGTATTCAACTTGGTTGTGTCTCTTTGATGCAAAAACACGTCCTTTAATTAAAGACGGCAATATATAATAATTATTCAATTAAAACGTTTAGTAATTATACTTCAATTTAAACTTAAGCATCCATAAATATACTGAACATAAAAATGATAGAGTTATAGCCCCACTCGAAACTCACTTCAAAGAAATATTTAAAACATTTGTCATTTTCGTGAGAAAAAAGATCTTTTTGTACTAAAAAGATAACACATTTCATGATGATCTCTCGAAGTTTATTTGATTTCAGGTGCTTATTTAACCTTTTGTTAGTCTATTTTTAAAATCGTGCTTATTTCTTTTCTTATGATCTTAGTCCGTATTTTAACCTTTTCTACTTATGTCGCGTTCTAACCTCCTCAAGTTTAACACTCGGCTCAATAGCTATTATATACGGCTACCCGTTTTAGGTTTCAGAAGTTTCAATAAATGAACAATTAGGGGTCTAATAAGATACTTCGAGAAATGGCGAGCCCAGCGCGGTCTATCCACCACTGTAATTAAGAAAGAATTAAGGGTGGATTGTTGACGTACGGTGTAACGTGAGAATGGTATATCACAAGCGTTGACATGACCGCAAGATAGGGGGGCATGGGCTACAAAATGTGTATATATTACTTTTAGGTCCTTAAAATCACGCTATGTTTAAACTTGTTAGAACAGATTTTTTTTTAAGTTCGATGAATAAGAATAAGAGCTGATCAAAATTTGTTGCTTCTATATATTTTGTTGCTTTAACAACGATAGATATCGCGTTTTATTTATCTATTTTTTTTTATTTCATTTATTTTTTTGTGGTTGGAGGGGGGGGGGTGGGGGCGAGTTGTGTATTTTCATAATCGATAAATTCTTCAATCCGTGCAGAGAATGAACAAAGTATTTTACGAACTACACATAAATATTAGCATACACTTCACATATTTGTTTTCAAGCGCAAAAGGTTGAAGACATTTAATACGATGTTCAAATTGAATTATTTTATTTATGTTAAAAAAGAGCATCTTCATTTCAAATAGGAAGAGAAATTGACATTTAATTTTAATTAAAATGTGAAAGAAAGAAAGAAAGAAGAAAGAAAGTAAGAAAGAAAGAAAGAAAGAAAGAAGGAAAGAAAGAAAGAAAGAAAGAAAGAAAGAAAAGAAAGAAAGAAAACAAACAGACAGACAGACAGACAGACAAACAAAAGCCATTTATATTCATTAATTTAGCTGAACCTTTTTAATGTAATATAGAAAACATTATAACTGATAAGATAATTTATATATATTTTTGATCACTTTAAATAATATTTATTCGTGTATGTTCAAGTCATAAAAAATATAAGAAATAAAGATGATTATATATAAGTACGTAAAGAAAACATTAAAATCAAAATTACTGAATTTAACCTTGACACTACATCTTTTTTTTCGAGACCTACTTTAAATTTTGATTGATCTGTGCCCGTTTAGTATTTATGTTAGAAGAGCCGCTCTGTTATAACGTGCGTTTATGTAAATAGAAACTACAACGCTCTCTTTTATGAACATGCATTTTTCCGTCAATAAATGGCGGTTTATACTCTAAATATGCCGTTTAATGTCTTTCTTACAATCAGCAATACGGTGTGTGGTCGTGTTTAAACAACTTATTAATGATTCTTTGACAAATATGTCTTCATCAATAATTCAGATGTCCATTTTTGTTTCTTTTTATTTCTCCGCGGATCATTTATTATAGACATTTCAATATTCAAAACGAAACCTTTCCGAAATAATATCCGCGCACAAAGGCACGGCATATATTCACGATAATGCCTATAAAAGAATTTCATTTTAAACAAAATCACAGTCTTTCTTGAAGAAAAAAAAAACAGACGTAGTTTCAAAAAGTTTTCATATTTTAATAAATAAGAAAACATGCACTATTTTTTTTTCTATTTAAATCCATGACTGTCAGCTCAATTTCTGGCTTAAAAGAAGACGTGGCTATAGAAATCAGTCCTAATTTAAACGATATAATTTACTATCCTCATTCAAATATAACTCATTTATCCGCAGGGTGTCGCCATGCGTTAAACATCGTTATAGTATGTATTTAATCGGTTTGATTAACCGGTAAAAGTAAATTCGATTAAGAAAAGATCCGGTCTCATTTTTTTTCTCATTGAGAAAAAAAGTGAATCTGATTTTTTTTATTCAATGTATAAAAATTGTAAAAATCGCGCTCTTAATAAAAGTCTAGCTTAAATGAATTAATAACGTTTAAAAGGTATTTTCATATATATAAATAGGCCAGGTAAAGGCATGTGAATAAATGTTTAAAGTATTAACAAAGTAAAAAGTACTGTTGACAAGACAAAATCAAGTTTAACAGATAAAAGATTTTTTTCAGAATCCGGAGTTACAATTAACTCGTTAGTACTTCGTAACCAATCAATAACTCTGACACAAAATCTAGTCGGGCTATGTATAAAACATTTTCCCTATTTCGCCACCGATGATCAGTATCGCAAAGTGATAAGTTGATGTAAAAGTCCTCATGTTCTGCTCGGATACATCCAGGCGCTTGATAACACAGACTTATGTTCAAAGATGGTTTCAGTGCACCAATCAGTTGTCGAATGTGTTACAATAATAGCGGATCGATGACAAACTTTAAAAAGAACTGAATTTAAAAAAAAAATGTTAAAGTTTGCTTTGAATGATTTTGATTGTTAAACGATACATGGAATATTTTTCTTTTAAAGTTTAGAAAGTTAGTTTTCTAGTGTTTCATTGGAATGTATCTTATTCAGAATGGATGGGCTATTTCGCGGATTAATGTTGTGGCTTAAAGTCGCCATAATATGTGGATTAACTTTATCTTCAGAGGTTCAGGCTAATTGGATGTAAGTTCGAAATTTAGTTTGTATAAACAGAGAAATAATTAAGGAAGTCAGCTGAACACCCCCGTGAACATAAATAGTTTTTGTATGTAGATATTTATTCGGTGAATTGAATTAAAATAATCACGTACAGTCACGAGATACCTTTAATCTTGAGGGTATCTTTGATCTTAAAAAAAGGAAAGTAAACAGGATTTCTTTCGTTCTTTAATTACAGCTTACGTTAGCAATAAAAGGACTTTGTCGTAATAATAACGCATTGGTATATTCAACGATTTGCAGTGTTATAACCTGAAATAAATTAAACATTTTTTTTATTAAATCTTTTCATTTGTTTACCTCTTACCGCGTTTAAACTCAAACTCTATGATTTCAGTGCTATATTTCTTTATTTTTCTCTTTTCTGCACGTTTTTCCTTTTCTTTTCTTTTTCTTGTCTTTTTTACAACTTAGAAAAATCTTATTAAATGATCTAGCCGTTTCATCTTTAGAAATATCATATTTTTATGTGATATTAATAATATATCTTAGATTTACGATAGTTTAACGGAGAAAGATATTATTTACATCTAATACTTATTGCCTTTATCTGTGTATATTACTTTATGTACATACTTTTGGAGAAAAAATATCATTATCGTCATTATTATCATAATAAACTAAAACTAAAATTGAAATCACAAATTAACCTTATCTTGTAATTTATTGAGAAGTCTATAATGAAACATGCTCCCAAATTGGCTATTAATTTATACCGCAGTACTAAAAATATATATTAAATGATGAATAAATATATTAAATCAAATTATATTAAAGAAATGCGATTCTGATTTAAACGTTATACTTTAAATGTTGATAAATATTAACAACGCATATCGTAAAAAGAAACTTGAAAGACTGATATAAGTATGTTGTTTACTCAAATTATCTCATCAATTCTAGAATTTCGATATAATTAAATCCACAAATCAGGTGACATCGTAATCTTTTTCTTCCATCCCACCCCGCCCCTTAAATTGTTTTCATTACATTTTTATCATATTTACGCATTAGATTTATGAGTCAAGTAAATGTTATTTGCATTTTCACGTGCACATGGATTAACCGAGGAACAATAATGTAAGCAATAGTATTTATCGTAAATAATTTTGCACGAGTTTTACGTGTTTACATCATATGAAACATAACCATAATAAAATTAGGAATAGGTAAGAAATACAATTTAGGAACAATTTGTGTAGAAAAGTTTGTTATTTGATATTACAAAACATATAATGGAATTGTTATGAAATTATTTCTAGTAACAACAACAAAATATAAACCCGTTTTCTAATTACACAGATATTTTTCTAAAGCGGCATGTCGCTAGAAGAGTGGAACATTAAATATATATTTACTGTTTTATTAATGTTCAAATATTCCCGCCCTGCTATACACAATATAACTGTATTTATAATTGTTATTGCCATATTTCTACCAAGATACCAATAAATTAAGTGAAACTAAAAAAGGCTAATATTACATGTATTGATGTATTATCTATTAAAAGTATTTTTGTAGTAAGTATATTATTTTATATTATGCTTGAAAATGTGAGAAAACTAAAGTTCCCTAACACATTAGCATGCATCTGTAGGCGTGCTGATTTAAACCATGCCACCCTGAATATCTTTAATGGACTTGTCCATCTTTCAATCTGGACAAAACTATTCATAATTTTAGGGTAAATCTTAAAACAGACGATGATCAGTTGACACGGACTGCAGGTTGACTCTGGTAATCACTGGTTGCATGGGTAATACATGTTGTAAATAAACGTACGTGGCGTATGAAAGAGGTAAAAAAGCCACAGCAACAGAACCAATTATTTCACATCATTCAAAATATTTGTTTTCTATTTTTTATTGAGATAAAATCGGAAAACAATTATGTACATTTCATTCAAATATACAATTTCCCTTTTAAGTTAAAACGAATACAGTTATTTATTCATTAAGCTTTGACTTCATGTAAGTGATACACAAACGAGAGTGTTGGAAAGAAATTTAATGGCCCCCACAAATAAAACCAATATCAAGTGAAGTTCAAATTAGAATAACGACAAATAAATAGCTCGGAAAGAAACAAAAAAAGAAAGTCTTAATTTGCATACTTAAAAACTGTTTTAGTAAGAATGATGATGAATGATTAATTTGAAACCAACACGTGATCTTGAAAACAAAATATCCGTATTTAACGCAATCCCTTTCTCGTTTTGTTCACAAAAATGTTGGACAGGCTTGGCCGACAGAAATCACGAGCAAATTACCAAGAAATGATAGGGCCATATTTTTTTACGATTATGCATTACTGTGATGTAGAAACATATATAAAATATTTGTTTCCTTAGTCGTCTGGACATTGCTATCTTCCTTTATTTTGTATTGCCGACGTTTTTATACATAAAGAAAATGGTACCTAGACCAGGAAGTTTAGTCTTCAGTAAATTCTTCATTGTCTTGTTCAATGTTAATGTAATATCACGTGTAGTTGTATAAATTGTACATGTATTAATATTCTACTCTACTGCAGTATTAAAAGTACTTTAAATAGTTACCATGATAATATTGTCACATCTAATACCTTCCTATGTGCTCTTTTCTACCTAAATTATATAATGACATTGATAAAAACAAATGAAAAAATGTTCATCAGTCTAACAAAGTCTGCTGTAAAACTGTCTTTTTTCCAAAAGTTTCAAATGCGTTTGCCCGAATATAATTAATACGGTGACCAAAATCATTTACACTGCCTCCTGTCATTGTATTATATATTATTCGAAACAGAATGAAGCACTTCATACTTGCCATTTATTTGAAGCACTTCATAATTGCCATTATTTCACTCTATGAAATTGAAGCACTTCCTAATTGCCATGATTTCAACATTTGAAATTAAAATACTTAAAAATTGCCATTTATTTCACCCTTTGAATTTGAAACACTTTATAATTACCATTATTTCACCTTTGAAATTGAAATACTTCATAAGTGCCATTATTTTCGCCCTGTTATCAGCCTGTCAATGTCATATGTATAGACGTTCATACCATAAAGTCTGAAACGGTTCCATACTGATAGCTGTTCAATTTCTTTATCCCTCATCCTATTTAATCATGGTCAGCAACGTATTCAAAGTAGGTCAAATCTGTAGTACAAATATAGCGAAGTTAAGTTTTACCATATGTATCTTTTGTATAATTTACTTAAAGGCTCTCCACATCTGCATTAGTTGTTTTCTCATCACATTAACAATATAAAAAGTATTGCTATTATCAACGACACCATCCTTTATTAGTGTTTCATCGATGTTATCAATACCAGTATCATCAATATCATCACTATCAAACGTGTCATTAAAGCTACCAAACCAATCTCTAGGTTGGTACAGATTGTTGGTAATCGGAAAGTATACAGCTTTTACAATACCTAGAGGCATTTTCATATTATCATCTGTACTCACAACGCAAAAACTAAATTATAATGCATTATGCCTTTGTGATTAAATGCAGATAAATATTCATTAAGAGGCTAAAAAAGTCATATATTACTTGCTGATAAACAAATATGAGCTTACTTATTTACTACTGCATTAGTAGTTAATGCAATTCAATGGAATTTGTTAAGCAATCCAGAGGGATAGATCTATTTATGCATAGACATACAGTGAATTTACATGCAATGTAGCTTAGAAACATTCCATTAGTATTTTGCTGTTAATTTAATGTTACTAAGATTGTAGACATAACTACTGTTCGGGTTACCAGGATAAGTTGTTTTGGCAGCTAGAAAATGCATTTGTGGTTTTTGCCCGTCTAAGTACCTTTTCAAGATTCATACTTTAAGATATAGTTACTAGCTTAAGAAAGGTATAAAGCGTTTTTTTTAATTGATACTCAGGTTTCACTATAATAGGATTTGAAAATAAATATATCCCCAACGTGATTGACATCATATGTGATATTCTGCAATTCAGTCAACAAGTTTTGTCTATAGCCAAATATGAATCGAAGCTTTTTATTAAAAACAATGGTTACCCAAAAACTTCAATAAATATGCATTTATAAATTAAAGTTAGTCATTTAATTTTTGACAGTATTTGTACTTGAATTCATTCTTATTTCATATGAAAAAAACAAGCTTCATTTTACGTTGCCATTTCAAACAAATTATCTTCAAATTATCATATGAATAGCTATTTTGAAAATGGAATTACCTATGGATTTATAGTATATTGTTCTTACATACCATCCCTATAAATGATGTAACAATCTCTAAAACCATTTCCACCTTTATTTTGTTGAACACTATCGACCAATCTCAAGTTCTATAGGAACTTCAGTTAACGACCACAGATTTCTATCTTTATATCATAAGAAAATGAATTTTTGTTGCTCTGAAAAAATAAAGTAATAAGTTGTTTTACATGGAAACTTAGTTTATGCCATGTTCTGTATTGCAAATTATATATAATATAGTTTTAACTATTGTCTCCCGTTCATATCAAACAATTACAAGCATCGTGAAAATCTTGTGCTAGTTCTCTTTAAAAGCCTCGATTACCTTTTACCAGTATAGCTAAAGGGACTAACTATGTTACTTCAAAACTTAGACAGACATTTGAAGATTTAAAATAATGTTTCATCATTTTTAAAGTATCAGCAAAAATAAATAATAATAATAATATAACGTAATAATATGATAATATAATTATGATTTTGTTAAAGTGATTAACTTGAAGACAAAATCATTCACTTAATACATGTTATAAGACAGAAAAGTTTTATCATATTTTATAATTTGAAGCAACGTAACATTTAACAGCTTGACATGGCAGGAATGTTAGTGACAAAATCGAAAAGGAATATATATACTTTTCGATTTTGTCACTAACATATACATATGTTCTAAAAATTGAACTTGTTTAACTTCTTTGTGAAATTACCCGTGTTTCCTTATATGAAA